AAATTTCGAAGCTACCAACCTCATATCTCACCAGTCACTACACCATGCACTAGAAGAGGGGGTAGCTAGCCTGTGGCCTTCCAAATGCTGTTGAAAGTGCCAGCCTGCCCATGAGGCAGAGTGAGGCAGCCACCTCAGGTGGCAGAAATCTGAGAGGTGGTGCCCTCAAGGGCACACTGCTACCCCTTAGCTTGCGGCGAAATATCATGAAATTTCACAAATGTTGCTGGAAGCCACCACCAGCGGTGGGTGCCGCAGTGGGGTGGCACGTTCTCACTTTGCCCCAACCATCATGACCAATGGTCAAGAATGATGGAGTTAGCAGAAGAAGAAGCTGCTTTCTACTGAGACAGACAATTGGGTCCACCCAGCTCAATGATGATAGCAGCTCTCCAGGGTTTCAGGCAGGGTGTCTCTCCCAGCCCCACCTAGAGATGCCGGGGATTGAACCTGAGACCTTCTGCATGCAAAACAGATGAGCTATGGCCCTTCCTGTTGTAGTCTAATGACATCTGGAGGACCAGAAGCTGCCTAGAAATACAACACTCTAAAATTGGCAAATCAATTCCTCAAACTCCTTGGGGAAGAAAGGCAGGATGTGAAATCAACAAACTAAATAAATAAAAATAGAAAGGACCTTCACACATACACACACAAAATTATTGCTCCTTCACTTAAAGGAACTGATATGTTGCCATTTGCCCAACAGATAAAATGTCACATCCAGGAACATTCCCAGGCTACAAAGACCTCCTCCAGCAATGCAACCCCACTCCCCAAATAAATATTTCTTTAAAAATTACAGCATAGTTTTTACTTCGTATGTTTCATGGGTGTTTGCTGCACCAATCTGGAAGCTGGCCCAGGAACTGACAACTTTAATGACAGCAGGCCAATTCAATGTCACATGGCTGCCTTCTTTAGGAACGAGCCGTTGACTGTTGCAAACCATGACCGTCAGCACATATATGTAACATCAAGATTAGATTCTTTGAAAGTGAAACTCAGCTCTGCAGAAATCTCCTCCCGCCTTCAAGGGAGAAAGTGAGGGAAGTGGGAGGAGCCTGCAAGCCCAACACTTTCACTCCCAGGGGCCCTCCACATAGCACTGACCTAGTGCAACACTGCATGCGAATATAGCCTATGAATCTGATCAGGCTCTTCTGTGGAAACAAAACTTCCACTTCTCCTATAAGATTAATGTGTGTTTTGACACAATTGCCTTGGTAGCTTCAATTCTTCCATGCCCAAAATCCTGTTCTTGGCAACTGTAGGACCAGGAACTTCCAAGACTCCCAGGTTCTTTTTAAAACATGAAATTAGCTGTCAGAGATGCAGATGAAAAGGGGATAATGGGGAAATAATGCAACTGTTGCTATAAAAAAATGTAAGCTGCTTTGCACCCCAATATGGAGCACCCAAAGCAGTGAACTACTTCTATCAAATAAGGAAAAGAGGCTTTCAGAGGCTCTGCTAAACTCTCAGGGTTCGCTGGTTCTTTGTGCAAGAGATGCAGCATCTTCTGAAGCCTGGGCGCTAAGCAAATATGAGAAGACCGACATTCCCCTTCTTCTGAAGTTTCCATGGAGATTTAGATCCAAAGAAACAGCTAGTAACTGGCAATGTTTAGACCTGGCACAGTGGCAAAACTCTTACAGTAGGGAAAGTGCAAATAAAGCAGGATTTAGAAAGAGCTGGTGAAAACAGACGAAGAAAGTTGTTCTTCCTGATTATCTGTGTATTTTACATCCTGTTATTCTGAATTACAACTCCCGTCATCAGCCATCCTTTCTGGGAACCTGGAGTCCTCCAACATCTAGAGAGCATTACATTGGTTCCCCAGGCCTATAGGACAATGTGAATCAGAGCATGGTTCCTGTCACTTTAACAGTAGGAATAACAAGGAAATTTTAATAGGTGAAAAAAAGTTGTATTTCAGGGGTTACTAACCCCAAGGATGTGAGTCTGATACCAAAAGCCACCTAGATCCAACACAACCAACCAAGAACTGGTGGAAGGTGGGATGGTCAAGATTTGTGGGTAATGATATACTCAGATTTTTGCTTCTCCAGCAGCATCATTTACAGCAGAGTTATAAAATATGTGCCAAACTTTTCTGGAGTGGGAGAAGTAGAATGACAAATTGTTTCAATGGAGGAAAGGGATAAAAAGCATGATGATCATAGAAAAAAAGCTAATGCTATTCTAGGCTGCATCAACAGAAGTGTAGTGTCCAGATCAAGGGAAGTACCAGTAATAGTACCATTCTATTCTGCCTTGGTCAGACCACACCTGGAATACTGTGTCCAGTTCTGGGCTCCACAATTTAAGAAGGATGTTGACAAGCTGGAACGTGTGCAGAGGAGGGAAGCCAAGGTGATCAAGGGTCTGGAAACTAAGCCTTACAAGGAGTGCTTGAAGGAGTTGGGTTTGTTTAGCTAGAAAAGAGGAGACTGAGAGGAGATATGTTTGCCCTCTTCAAATATCTTAAGGGCTGTCACATGAAAGAAGGAACATGCTTGTTTTCTCCTGCTCTGGGGGGTAGGATTCGAACCAATGGCTTCAAGTTCCAAAAAGGAGATTCTGACTAAACATTCAGAAAAACTTTTTGACAGTAAGAGCTGTTTGACAGTGGAACAGACTCCCACAAAAGATGGTGGACTCTCCTACTTTGAATGTTTTTAAGCCGAGGTTGGATGGCCATCTGTCATGGATGCTTTAGCTGAGATTCCTGCATTGCAGGGGGTTGGACTAGATGACCCTTGGGGTCTCTTCCAATGCTACGATTCTATGATTCTATAAGGCAAGTATGACATTTTATTAGCAATCCTGTTTATTCTGTGGGGAGAAAAGCAGCGCAAAAGAGCCCTTGGAAGCATAATGCTGGGCTGCGGAGTTTACTAGTTTAGACCCTGTACTTCTAATTTGCATTATCATCTCAGCTCAAAAGCTTGGAAAGACAACAAGGTAAATATCTTTAAAAGGTGTGTTGAATCAGTTACTTTGTACGTTGACAGTCAGAGATACCCACTGAGCAGATAAACTTACCAGTAAAGACAGCAGAGTTCACTTTCTAGTGAAACTGCTGACCCCAAAGCACATGCATTCCCTTAGGCAATATTTGCCAAAATTACCTCTGGTATCAGCAAATGAGCCAAGAACAGCATTGGATCTCTGGCTGCAAAAGCAGGATGTGATGGGAAACGCAGACCTCGGTACAATATGAAGATGGCAGCTGAGCCCGGAAATACAAAAGTCTCCCATGAAAACTAGCTTTGATGATTGCAAGAAAAGTGGTTCAGGACTCAAGGAATCATTTTTTTAAAGTAATTAAATCCAGACGAAATCATGGCATTGAAATATAACCCAGGGGCATCACATACATAGCTTGAGTGTTCTAACCACCCTTTATACCAGTTGACCCAAGGTGAGTGTTTCTGCTCTATATTCCAACACCATCCCCATGGAAATCAGAGGGGAAAGGAAGAAAATCCAGAGTTATGCAGATGGCCCTCTGGGAACGGAGATGTATTACGCAGGGGTCACATTACTCAAATTCACCCTACTTGTGTTCTTTTGTGCACCAGTTGAAATCATGCTGCTCTTTTGTGCTTTGACTGCCCCTTTCCCACCAAGTCTATGGCAGTTTGAATCACAAGGCAAAAAGGGAGCACGGTTGTCCACAGGGATTTTTTTAGAGGGTGGGGAGAGTAAAACACTGAAAGAGGGGGAGCAGGATATTCCCCCCCCCCTCAAACACACACACACACGAGAGAGAATGGTGCCTAAACAGGTTGCCTTACATCATAGAATCATAGAATTGTGGAGTTGGAAGGGACCCTGAGGGTCATCTAGTCCAACCCCCTGCAATGCAGGAATTTCAGCTAAAACATGCATGACAGATGGCCATCCAACCTCTGCTTTAAAACCTCCAAGGATGGGGAGTCCACCACCTCCCGTCGGGAGTCTGTTTCACTGTTGAACATCTCTTACTGTCAAAAAGGTCTTCCTGATGTCTAGTCAGAATCTCCTTCCTTGTCACTTGAGGCCACTGGCCTCCAAAGCAGGAGAAATCAAGCTTACTCCATCTTCCATATGACAGCCCTTGAGATATTTGAAGATGACTATCATCTCTCAAGACTCCTCTTTACTAGACAAAACGTACCCAACTCCCTCAACTGTTCCTCATAAGGCTTGATTTCCAGACCCTTCATGATCTTGGTCACCCTCCTCTGAAATCCTGTAACCACAAATGTTCTGGTTTGTTTGTTTGTTTAGTTCCCCTTTTGTTGTGCTGTCATGCAGAAGTGCCCTTCTGGACAGCAATAATGCAGTAACATGGGGAAGCATCCCAGAACAACTTTTTAAAAATGATGCATGTGTCGATGTGGTATATAAATCCACTACTATTGCATTAGGGACTTGTTGCAGAAGACACTTGCAAACACAAACACACACACACACACACAACCACACAAAACAACCCACACAAAAAAAAAAAATCCCCAAAAGTTTGGATCTGCCCAAAGTATCTTTTTGACAATGGGGATTCCGCTGAACTCTTTTCACTTCTCTTCACTTGCTTTGCTTCCGTTCAAGCCTCTGCTGCACTTACCTACGCCTGAATCAATGGCCTCTTGGCATAACACCCCCAAATTTATGTCCGGATATATATATATATATACCGTATATAATGCCACTTCCTCCCCTCCCCGCAGCGCACCACTCCCGCCCACCCCGTGTCCTCAAAATACCTTCATCCCAACTTTTCTCTGGCAAGCGCAAATCGACCCTGGCAGCCCCTTTGCATTCCTATCACCCTCTTCTCTCCAGCCCCGAGGAGGGAGAGTGCAACAGCTTCCAGCCCCAAGTTATTTGACCCTTAAAAAGAAAGTGAAACCCTATGGGCTCCCCACCCCGCGCCGGCCTCCAGCCCCCCACCCCCATTTCTTGGGGTGCCCTGTCCACCCCAGAGCATCTGTTCCTTTGGCCCCCTGTACCTGACCCGATGAATGCCCCGGAGGCCAGTTCGAGCCACCAGAACTGCCCAACCCTCCCTGGCGACTCTCTTCAGCAGGCCGGTGGTAGAAGCCATGGGCCCCCTCTCCCAGCAGAGGCGTAGCCCCCGCCACAGCCCCGCTGCTTGCAGTTGCCTCTCCCTCGGGCAGGGGAAGAGCCGCCGGCCGGCCGGGAGCAGCGAGGAGGAGGGTGGGAGCTGGGGGTGGGAGGGAATGGGAGGCAAACGGGGCGGCGCTGCCGGCGCTCAGCCCGCCCGGCTGCAGCACCTCCTGCAGCCTCGTTAGGGAGAAGGAAGTGGAGGCGGGCGGGGAAGAAGGAGGCGGCTGGAAGAAGCCCCTTAGGTGCCGCTGAAGAACTCCGTCGCCCAGCGCGGAGGACGGCGAGGCGAGGCTGGGAAGGCGAGCGAGCGGTTCTTTCGCCCGCAGCTCGCTCTCTCCGCGCAGCCTTCGGTCTAATAAGGCATCGCTTGAAAGCAGAAGGAGCATCTCGCATTTCGGGAGAGGAGAAAGCTACAATCTGACTGACTCTGCACTCCTCCGCCCCCCATATATTGTTCAAGTTGGCACTTCTGCCTAGGTTCCGCTTTGTTTGTGGGGTGGTGTTTTCGACAGGCCCACCCTAAGGGTGTGAAAGTACCTACGAGTTTGCCAGGGCATGCACTGTGCTGTAATTTCTATGAAGTTTTGAGATAGTTACCTCAACAAGATGTGGGGCTCAGGGCTCTAGCAACCATATACAGTGGTACCTCAGGTTACAGACGCTTCAGGTTACAGACTCCGCTAACCCATAAATAGTACCTCAGGTTAAGAACTCTGCTTCAGGATGAGAACAGAAATTGTGCTCCGGTTGTGTGGTGGCAGCAGGAAGCCCCATTAGCTAAAGTGGTGCTTCAGGTTAAGAACAGTTTCAGGTTAAGAACGGACCTCCAGAATGAATTAAGTACTTAACCTGAGGTACCACTGTACTGTGTCCCAGAACACCCTATAGGGCTGCATGCCCCCCTCCTGCCTGTAAAGCACATTCTTTCCCCTCTGACAGCACTCAAGCTGCCTGAAGCAGGGTCCACAGACTGTTACAACAACCACAATCTGTTTGTTTTTAATTTGAATCAGCAATTCCACTGTTTGATTTCATAGATATGAAGAACAGTCCTATATAGTTTCCATAGTGAAGTATTAGAAAATGAAACACACTAAACCTAAAGTGCACCAACCTGGTATTTCATGGGAGGGTGTTATACAAATACATCCATGAATTAATAGCTAAATAATTAAAGTGCCTATCCTTTTTTCAGCTTAAGAGCTCTCAGAAGAGTGTTCAGTATTCCACGTTCAGCAAAAGCACCCTGCACAAACTGAAGCCAAGCAGCTTTTCCAGGGTTGCATGTTGAGCAGGATTGGCCCTCCCAGCTCTGGTCTGCTTAAGATAAAACGTGTTTGTTTACGCAGATTGTGCCTCTGCATAAAGGTGGAAGTCTTTATTAACATATTAGAAAGCTCATTATATCATGAGGCACACATGAAAAGAGAAGTTCAAAATAACAAAGAGGAAGAGAGACACAACCTAACAGCTGTATCTCCTGGGACACATTCAGCCTGCAATCTCCATTTTAGGACATAGTCTACAAGCTGACCTCAAGGCTACAACTTCTAGCCAAATTTTTGTACTTATTTATTTTTGTTTTCTTAATTTCCCCTCCCTCTTGCTTTGTGTAAAGTTGTTGTGTTGTTTTTTTTGGGGGGGGAGGTAGTCTGCATAAGGCTTTGAGACCCTTCTACTTCTTGGAGTCCTGAATCCAGCAAGGGTTAAATCTACTTTAGTTAAGCACCATGATCAGCATCCAAAAAAAAAAGAAAGAAAGAAAGAAAAGGAAAAAACGAATGAGCTGGGCTGCAAGGAGGAGCCCAGCTCTTGGCAGGGAGCTGGAAGGACAAGAGCCAACAGTGTGAGAGAGTTCAGCTAGAAGCAGGCAGAAGCTAGAGAGACAGGAGGCATGATTGATTTATGCTGGAATCCAAAGCTGTGACTATAGGATAGGCAAGATTTTGGAGTGTTAATGCTGTGAGTCCTTCCACCTTAAGCTCAGGTTGTATATATGTGTAAATAAACCATATATCCTAAAAACACCACAGTCTCCGCTGTCCCTCATACCAAGGAAACCAGACCTTGGGTAAGTGCCTGGAATCTCTCATAGCTCAGAGATTCGGGTGGCATGTAATAATATCTTACATGAAGAATTCTGGAGAACCTAAAAGTTTGCCACAGTTTTGTGACATTTTGGTTGGTCCTAATAAAGATAATAGACCAACTGTGTTCCCCCCCCCTCAGATGGACCAAGTCTGCCACCTTTGCTTTCTGTTCTTAAAAGTACCCCACTACCTGCATACTAAAAAAAAAAAAAGAATTAAGACGGCTGACAGTTAATGCTTAGTGCTCTAACCTAAAGAGACATAGAAAGCATCAAGCCTTATGGGACAAAGGGTGTGTAGATATATGTCCAAATTATAAAAGTGATAATTGCCTCAGTATATTGTCACAGCAATACAGACCAAAGTACAGAACGCATTAAACTGTGGGTGGGAAGTAAACTTTAGGAACATGGTGTTTTCATGAGTAGCACATGCAACTGTCTTGCTAGATGTGTGGATGTGCAGTTCATTTGATCCTTACCCTCCAATGGCCCTTCAGATGTTTCTAGACTCCAAATCCCATCAGCCCCAGCCAGCCTAGCCAATAGTCAAGGGTGATGGGAATTGTGGCCCTTCATATGTTGCTGGCAGTGTTAGAAACTGAGATATGAAAGCTAGGAGCCAAATGGCACCGTAAACCTAGCTTATGGGTGCAACAACGGAATGTCTAGGGTGCTCTTTTATAACAAGAATACAAAGCTGAAAATGAATGAACTGCAGCTGAAATGTTATATGTTCATTTTTCACACGGTCTAGTCCTTCTCCTGCCCACCCCCTAATATTCTTAAGAGGGCATCTTCTCCAGTCTCCAGAGAGAAGCTGGAAGTGGGGAGGCAGAAAAAGGTCCTCCTTTCCTTACACTCTGCAGTTTTATTCTGAAATCTTAGGTGCAGTACTGTGCCCAGAGCTCAGAAACTGCTCGCTCTAATGAAATTCCCTGTCGCAAAATATGCCTAGAACAACGAGAGTTTCAAACACCGGTTGCTGGACTACAACCTGTTTTATTTCATGGTCCCTACCCCTGTTTTACTGAATGGTCACCAGCAGTGCTTTTCTTCTAGAAAAAGTGTGCTGGCATCCACCATCAAGATGTTACAGTAAGTGCCACACTTTTAACCAGTGCTCCTCCTCCTCCTCCTCCCCCTCCTCCTCCTCTTCTTCTTCTTCTTTTAAAAAGTGCTGATACTGTGTACCCTTGAGTACCCCCAGAAAAAGCACTGGTTACCAGCATGAATGAACCTCTCAGCAGATGAACCTTTCAATACCTGTTCAATTGGCACATGTACCAGTGCAAAAGCACTGTTAGATGAAGGTAGGAAGGTGATCCTTGCCAATCTTCCCTGGAGTCCCCAGCATCACATCCCATGCTGTTAAAGAGGGATCAAACCTCTGAACCAGCTATTCAGAGAACATGGGCAGGTGGGGAAGTGGGGGAAATCACTTCCCACTTTTTCCTCCAGCAGAGGACCTTGTGGTTAGAGTTCCATCCACAAATAGCCTAGACTGGAGCCAAACCTGTTGGTATATTTTACAACTTTCAATGCTCCAACAGCTTAAGCCCAGGGTGGATAATGCAATGTGTTCCAGGTGTTGTGGGAATTCAACTTCCATCAAGCCCCAGCCAATGGGCATGGAGTTGTAGTCAAAACTGTCTGAAGGGCACGCCCTTGGCTAGTTGTGACTTAAGCTGTCTCAGGCAGTTGAAGGCGGAAATAATAAATACAAACTAACTAGATTGTAACCACCAATGCACACAATGGGATTTACTTCTGCATGAGCACAGGACTGTGCTGTGTAATAATAAAATAATAATTAGTAATTATGGCAACACAGATCAAGGATCAAATGGCCCATTCACACTCGGAAAGCATTCTATGAGTTACACATTAACAGCCATTCAAAGTAGGGGAATTTCCTGAGTGACTCTCACAAACTGAAGGACGGGCAGCCAAGTGTGTCAAAGGAGCACCAGTAGAATTGACAGAGCGGCATTTTAAATGTTTCCATGGATTCATAAAACATAAGGCCATGCTGGGTGAGGCCAAGAGGTGACTGGGGTAGTGTGGCATGTGATCATGCCTCTAGCCTAGGACCTCTGCCATACACACTACCCAGGTTTGCACACCAGAGAGGTCACTTTGACGCTGCTAATGCAGCAAAAACAACACAGGAGGCAGCAGTTGCGAGTTACTGGGTTTTCCACAGGCTCAGCAGGCGCTGTGATTCTCCAGTGGCTTGACTTCACCCCAAAGGCGCACTCCATTGTCTCCCAAGACAGACAAATGCTAACAACAGATCTGCCTCTTGAATTAATCTTTCAGGAAACATATTTGTTCCTCTGCTCTTGCCCTGCCTTCCTAATCCACATCCTTATAAAATAACAGCATGTGTGTTCTGCATCTCTAAAGCCCTTGATTTTTTAAAATGCCAGTTATTCTGAACATCTATGACTTAGTGCATGAAGAATCTTGTGTCCTCTATTAGCCATTCCTGCAGAAAGAATCCGGCTGTTCAGTGAAACTTCTAATGAACTGTGAAAAACAGTGGACATATTAAAGGGCTTGGGGATGCTGCCATGCTCAGGGTCTGGCAAATTACAGCTGTCTGTGAAAGTACAGTGATACCTTGGGTTAAGAACTTAATTTGTTCTGGAGGTCCGTTCTTAACCTGAAACTGTTCTCAACCTGAGGTACCACTTTAGCTAATGGGGCCTCCCGCTGCCGCCGCCCCACTGCCGTGTGATTTCTGTTCTCATCCTGAAGCAAAGTTCTTAACCCGAGGGTTAACGGAGTCTGTAACCTGAAGCGTCTGTAACCTGAAGCGTCTGCAACCTGAGGTACCACTGTACTGGGCCCCAGAGCAGATTGGTATGGCTGTCCATGACTGCCTTCTGAATCAATTGTGTTATCATTTTTCAACTACTTGTATCTCCGCCTGCATTCTTCTGGTTGGTACGCTAATTCAGAGGATATGTCAAGTTTGGATAGTGAAAGCCCTTCGGTGAAAGAGGACAAATTAGGTCATCTCTAGCCTTACAAATGGGATGCAGGTGGCGCTGTGGGTTAAACGACAGAGCCTAGGAATTGCCGATCAGAAGGTCGGCGGTTCGAATCCCCGCAACAGGGTGAGCTCCCGTTGCTAGGTCCCAGCTCCTGCCAACCTAGCAGTTCAAAAGCACGTCAAGTGTAAGTAGATAAATAGGTACTGCTACAGCAGGAAGGTAAATGGCGTTTCGGTGCGCTGCTCTGGTTCACCAGAAGAGGCTTAGTCATGCTGGCCACATGACCTGGAAGCTGTACGCCGGCTCCCTC